TAAACCATTAAATGAAAGCACGTCCACGCCCAGGCTTTGGTATCCCATTGCAGCTGCTTGCCGGCGCAGTTACGCAAAATGTCACCGCGTCGCAGTTGAATTGGCGCAAATCCCAGTAATTTGTATATACGAGCGAAAGGATACACAATGTAGGCAAATTCATTGCAATGGAAATTGCCCGTAAGATAAGTGCGTATTGCGCGCAACAACAATGACATAACTGGCATGCTTAAAAGAAAACATTAAACTCTCATGAAAATATATTATTAACTATTTTAGTATAAAAATGCAAGTTTCTTTTCCGCGTGAGTGTTGCTTACGCGTGAGCCATCAACGTTCAACTAGCTAACTCAGCGATGCACTTCGGTCAGCCATTATATAAAATGTACATATGTAGTTAGTGAACTTAACGGAGACACTCTCGTTTAAAGTTCTAATTAATTTCATCGGAAGTCAAACAAATGGGGTAAAATACACATACATGTACATATGTACATATAAAAAGGTATCAACAGGATAAGGTTACACGAATGGAAGGGTTGTACATATGTACATATGCATACCTACATAAATATATATTACTTATATGTACGTAATACGTACACACAAATGGGGTAGTTGGATAGTTAGTGTACGAGTACTTAATACAAGTGCGAGTAAAAGTAGATTACTGAACTTTTATTATGCACTAGTTTGCCCTCACCCTCAGCGGGTATGCAATTTGTGCGTGTCACATTTCATTAATTTATTTCAATTAAACTCAAATAGTTTAGCATAGCCAAAAAAAAGTAAGCAATTTTCACATTCTTCTTTCTTTTTAACGTTTGATATAACTTGTTTATAATTGAATTAAATTCGACTTTTCAAACAGGTGGCAAGCCCCATCAAACTATTTTCAAACTAAAAGCTTTTTAAGCATTTTTCGTCTGACACCCATTTTGTCTCACGACTAAATATGACGGCAAAGCCTGACGAAAGGGCGCAACCGAATTCAATCCTGTAAAAAGTCCGTTTTTGCAACTCTATTTGAAAGATTTCCCTTTAAAACAAATTTTCAAAAATTTTTTTTGTTGGTTACCAAACAATGAACAGAACTGAGTAGTCACGATTTAATAGCTTTTTTGTCACTGAAGTACTAAACGCCTCGAACCGATTGCGATATAATTTTTTGTACGTAGTTGAGTGGGTCCTTGGATGGTTTAGGTTTCCAATTGGACCTGGGGGATGGTTCAAGTGGTAAAAGTCGTTTGCACAAAATATGAACATTATCAGTAACAAACGAAAGGATTGAGAAATCCTCAGCATACAAATATATTGAAATAAGCTGCCGCCTTTAAAACAAAAGAAAAGATCAGCACAGCATCTTTGTAATGGCTTGTGGGCTGTGTAGGAGACACATACGCTAAACTTAAACATAGAATATGTAATACATATTTAGTATTATGCAGAGCACATTAAGGTGAATTGAGGTGAATTTAAATGAGGTGAGTTGGGTTGAGGTGAGTTAAGGTGAAATTAGATGAGTTGAGCTGAAGTTTAGCAAGCTATGGTGAGGTGGACAGAGCTGAGTTAAGGTGATTTGAGGTGAGTTTAAGTGAGGTGAGTTGAAATATGGCAAATAAAAATTCAAAAATCGCACTCAACTGGCATCCTGCTGTAAGCTTTCAGTTAAAAAAAAAAATTAATCAAATTGGTTAAAAAATTAAGGCTCTAGTGAATTATGAACATTAAATTTCGGTTTTAAACCACTGTGCGGCTGCGTCCAACACGAACAACAGTATGTGACCTGATGGGAAAGTATTTGATCTTAACAAAAATGTTTCACAAAAACGAATAAAGCCAGAAAAATTGTTTTATAATTTTTTATTTTCCTTTTTAATATGTAGACTAAAAAATAGTTCTCTTCCATTTTATAATCATCCTCATATATACAAAACAGTTATCGTATAAAAATTAACTATAATTAATTAAATAAAGAAATAAGTACATAAAATTTATACAAAAGTTGAAGAGCAGACAGACAAAAGTAAATTGAAACACAACACAAAATAACAAAGTAAAAAATTTAAAAAGATACATATAAAAAACGTTGAAGGTAAATTAACAAAAACAAAAAATTGACAAAAACTAAACCAAAAATTTGTGCTGTTTATATGTATGCAGAATTATTTGAATTTGAATGAAATTCAAACACGAAAAACCGCGCAGTTTTCTTAAAATTCCAGAGCAGTAAAGGTCTCCCAAGTATTCTAACTTCAATAGCGAATGTATTATATTTTATACGTATGGGCAAAATAATCTTTTAATAAATATCGAATCCTTCAGATGCAAAATATTGTATTCAAAGCTTTGCGAAAATTTGTACAAATGAAGTTATCAACTTTTCACAATAAACTAACATATTTTAGACCTGCACTAGCTCATTTGCTCTTCGAAACCTGCTTGAAAGCTTCGATAACAGACTTTCACAAAGTCGGACTCGCTTTTATCTCGTACAGATATTGAATGAATTTTGTTTTTTATAATGGCTTTTTTTCGCACATTTGAGTGGCACATTTGAATGCAGCGTACATCGCTCATCTTCGACTCTTATGCATCATTGTCTCCAGTACGCTTGGATCCAATGTTGAAGCGTGTTCCAAATCCTCAGAGCTGGCATTCTCTTCGGCTACATTTACGAAAGCGCTGGATAGTTCACCATTCAATTTATTCACGGCTCCGGTGGAGATGTCGTACATGAAAATTTCTTGCTCTGCATTGTCGCTAGATCTAAGAATTGAAAGATAGAAATAAAGAAAAAATAATTCTTAAAAACAAGAGGCAAGAAAAAATATACATATTTTTAAAAATAAATACTCTTAAAATAATAGAATTCTTAAATCAAAACTCATTGCATTCGAAAAATTTGGTGCAAGCGGCCGCCTATGCAGGATACACTTTGGCTCCGGGGCCCTTGTGGTATCGCATTGTGGGTTGTGCTTACCCCCCATCCCTTACAATCACTGAAATTCCTAAGACTTTTGACTTCCATGGGCCTTCCATGGGACGAATTTCTTCTTTACTTTGACCGAGAATGAATGCTTTGTGTTGGACACTTAAGGTTACCTTCCTTTATTTAGTAGCCTTTTAGGAGGTTAGCAAATGTCGGCATTCTTCGGTTTTTTTCTACGAATATTTGCACTTCCTAATTTAAACAATTTCTAGAAACTGTTAAGCAAAACCAAAAGATTTGAATGGAGGGATTTTTACAGTAGTATGGAATCTGCATCTCATGAAGATACTCTCCAGTTCGCCTCTAGTCGTCGCGGGCTGCTGAAGATCAAAAGGGACGTCGATGGAAACTGGCGGGGAGTCCTACGTCTTTTTT